GTGTCCGGCGCAGCAGGAATAATAATCGGCAACCCCCTCGACCTGATAAAAACGCGTCTCCAAGCCGGTCCCTCGTCCCAAAATGTCGAAGCTACATCTCCAGCGACAACAGGCGCGGTAACAGCACCACGGGGTTTCAAAGGACAATTTGAGAATGCGGGGACACTCGTAAGAGGTGAGCAAGCAAATAGACACTCGAAACGGTATAAATGAAAGTGGGATACGATTGACTGACTCAACTCCTCCAGTATAGGCGCAACAGCACCCATCCTAACCTACGGCGCCCTCAACGCTCTCTTATTCATGACCTACAACCGCACCCTCACCCTCCTCCACGATTCTCCTGCATCGCCTACAAACTACTCGAAAGTCTTCCTGGCAGGTGCAACAGGCGGCCTCGCATCCTTCATCGTGAGCGCACCTACCGAACTCGTAAAGTGCCGCGCGCAGGTAGCGACCAACGCGACGACAACTAGTTGGAGTGTCGCGAGAGATGTTTGGAAGGCAGAGGGGATCAGGGGTTTGTACTATGGAGGTGGGATTACCAGTGTGAGGGATGCGGTGGGGTATGGGTTTTAGTGAGTTGCTTGCCTGTCCGTTCTCCTGGATGGAGAAGCACGATGATTGAGGACGTTGGCTGACCGCACACGCAGCTTCTGGTCCTACGAACTCTCGAAACAGGCCTGGTCCTCGCCAGACGACTCCGATCGCGAAACAGCCATGAAAGTACTGTTATGTGGTGGTCTTGCTGGTGTCATAACATGGGCGTCGATATTTCCGCTGGATGTTATCAAGACGAGGGTGCAGACGCAGATACTACATGCGCCAATGCGGCATGGGGAGGGAAGTGCGCTGCTAGGGTCAGAGACGCCCAGAGCACGGTTGAGCGCTGTCGAGGTTGCCAGGCATGCGTACAAGACAGAAGGTGCGGGCGTCTTCTTCCGTGGCTTGGGCATATGTAGCATACGGGCATTCGTGGTGAACGCCGTACAATGGGCTGTCTACGAGTGGATGATGAAATTGCTGCAGCAATAACACATCATATCAATCATCACGAATACATATAGACCATGACAAAGAAGAGCTTGAAACCGCTAGGTTACTATTCGATCTCCTCATTACATTTCGAAAGCTAGCCCTTTTGTCGACAAGGAAATTTTGGTCCACTACAGACATGCCCGTGATCAAGACCCGTAACATAATCTCTCCAAAGCTCCGTCATGTGTATACATGTGAAATGAGAGAGAAAAAGGTGTTCCTAACATGACAATGCTCATAACCAGAGCAGATGGGAACCCGTATGCATCAGCCTCTGATGCTTGCGCGTCGAAGAAATACCGCAAAGCAAGGATCACTTTACATGATCTGATCCTGGGTCAAACCACCAGTGTTCTCGGTACCCTCCATGGCATCGCCGCCGTTGCCCATGTTGGTGTACTTGACGTAGGCGAGACCCAATGGCCTGCCACCGTACTGGTATCCAGTGAACTTGGCTACGTATTGTTAGTAACAGGACTCAAAGTGCATGAACAAACATACCGATAGATGTCTCGGCATCTCCAGCCTGGGCGAACTCAACGACACCGGTTCCGCGAGAGCGACCGTTGGGCTCATACTGAATCTCGGCACGCTCGACCTTGCCAATCGTGGTGAAGAGCTCGACAAGATCCTCGTTACTAGTCGACCAGGGGAGGTTGCGAACGTAGATGGTGTTGCTGGGCTCTCCGCCTGCAGTAGCGTAGTCTGTGAATGGGTTGGGTGCGGCAGGAGCAGCGTTGGGGTCGAAAGCAGGGCCACCAGGGGGACCGCCAAAGCCACCTCCACCAGCGTAGCCTCCACGACCTCCAAAGCCACCACCAAATCCGCCACGGCCACCGAAGCCTCCACGGCCGCCAAAGCCTCCGCCAAAGGCACCGCGTCCGCCGAATCCACCACCGCGACCACCAAAGCCACCAGGAGCGCCAGCGAAGCGGTCTTCACGGACCTCTAGGTTGCGACCTTGCCAATCGTAGCCGTTGAATTGGGTAATGGCGTTGCGAGCATCCTCGGGAGTCTCGAAAGCAACAACACCGGAGCCCTTGGGACGGCCATCGGGGGCGATGTGGACGTCAGCGCGGAGGACTTGGCCGTTGTTAGCAGCTTGGCGGAAGAGGTCCTTCAGATCCTGCCAGCCGACGTTGTAAGGAAGCTAGAACTGGGTCAGTACACGCTATCGAGGTAAGCAAAGAAGAGAAAAGGGTACGAACGTTGGCGACATAGACCTGTCGTCCTGCACCACCTCCGGCAGCAGGGTTGCCGCCGAAGCCACCTCCAAAGCCGCCGCCGCGAGGCATTCCGCCGCCAAAGTCACCGCGTCCGCCGCCGGGGGCGCTGAATCGAGGCTCGGCCTCTCGGTCTTCGCGAACGTATACGAGTCGGCCCATGAGGTTCTGGTTGCTGAGCGATGCAACAGCGTTCTGCGCCTGCTCCCGAGTGGCATATTCCACGATGCCACAGCCCTACACCCAAGCAAAAGCCAGTCAACCTCCATCCTTCTCACGATCAAGACAAGCCATCATCCTTTACCTTTGACATTCCGTTCGGCAGCAGCAAGACGTCTGCGAAGAGGACCTCGCCAGCTATTTCCGCATTAGCCCAGCTCTTGACGCGGCGCAGCGCATGCCGTACCTTGGCGCATAAAGTCCTTCAGGTGGTGCCACTTGACATCGTAGGACAGGTTGCCGACGTAGACACGGCGATCTTGTTGCGAAGAATCCCTAATACTCTGCATCATTTCACCCTTGTTCTCGACAGGTCGCGATGAAGCTCCTCGGCCAGCACCGTACGATTGGTAGCCTCCTGCACCTTGCGCACCACTTTGGGGGGAGCGCGAGCGGCGTTCAGTGCGGCGGTAGTCCTCGCGACTGCGTGAGCGGCTACGGGGCGAGTAGGAGCGTCTGGAGCGTCGCGGTGAGCGAGATCGTCGACGGGGAGAGCGGTCGCGCTGGTCATAGTTGTCAGTTTCGTACGACATGATTGCAAAGTACACGCAATGTGTCGAGGCGACGAAGAGGTTCTGGGAGGTTCGGCGATGGCGAGCAGGTGCGGGCTCGCGTGGGTGATGGGGTTGAGGAGAGGTTGCGCGAGCGGGTGAGGGCAAGCAGCTCGGAGCTTGGGCAACGACAATCCGCCCGGGCGGCAGTTGCCGGCAGCGACAGTCACGTGACGGACCACCACCCAGGCGTGAGCAATGAGCGAGGAAACCAAGGGTGCTGGCTGCCTTGGAGGGGCTCATAGGTAGCTAACACCGGTCCCATCACCATCGCCCACGCTTACAGAGACCCATCCAGCACTGCAACAGCCTCGCCGTCCACCTGACCTGCGCCTGGCGGCGGAAACAGAAAGAAGAAACATGAGCACTTACTCGGTCGCTTGGACGATAGTTATCTCCTGCAGAGTCTGGTAGGGAGAGGTCAGCAGGCAACGTGTCGGGTCGTGAGAGAAAGCAGAACCGTGATGGCGCGGAGGATGGCAAAAGCTTTGGGAAGCCAGGGAGGGGAAGTTACGGCTGCGTATATAAGAGGGGCCCACTTACCCATCCTGTGTATTAGAAGTAGCTACCGGTGACACTTGCTAAAAGGCCGGCTTCCCTGCCAGCTGGAGGGCCAAGTGGTGCAGATATCACGCTGCAGAGAAATTGCCCTTCTTCCGTCCACGCCTCAATGATGACGCTGTATGGGTCCTCGACAGTGCAAGCCTCCCCACGGCACAGCACCCACGCAGCCAATCGCGTTGCAGAGGCGCCCACCGAAGGCCTGAGGGACGTCCCGGCCGGCTGGGTTGGTCGACGGAGGTTGAGGTTGCAAGACCGATCGGGAGCGCGTCGGTAAGCCTGGGATATAGCTGAACCTGTCGTGAACTGCCAGCTGTGGTCGATGTCACGCTATCCCACCTGATGAGTCTGGGTTTTTTTCGGTTTCGTGGGCAAGGAAAAGCGCGGCAGATGTCATGCAAGCAAACACCTTGATGGGTGGATTGATTGTGATGGAGGGCTGTGGGTGGGTCTGTGGAGTCGTTCGGTCGCTGGTCGTGCCTTCCCCCACCATCTCGGAGGCCGTGCGCTCCTGCGGGAGCGGGTTCCTTAGCCGCGGCTTCTGTCTTCCATTCCACTATTTACTCCGCGTGGCTTCGCTGTTCAAACGCTCCAGAAATCCACATCACCTCCTCTATTCAATCGCGAGCCGATCAGCGATAGCCGGTGGTACGGCTGCCAGTAAGCACAATTAGGCCACCACAGGCCTGGACCCCTAGCCGTGTGCACTGTTACATCGTCAGATCTCATCATCGATTCGGCCCAAATCGTAACACCAGCATGCACTCTCTACCCGTCCTTGTATGACCGGTTCTCCCGGTCTGTACATCATCGCTGGTTGCACAGTGCGGGCCTGGACTTCGATTAACTGCACCCTGGTTTCAGTTGAGGCACATACATATACTTCAGAGACACGTAAGCTGGCCGGTCAATTAGAGTGCAAAAGGCCACCTGCTGCCACTTTGAAACACCATGTTCGTCAGCTTGCCTTATCTGCTTCTCAACACGAGCAATCAATCGCCTTCAACACGCAATCTGCTTGCTAGTCGCGGACAGGTGCGGAGATCTCTCTCTTCCTCCACCTCTCCGCGGAACGACATGAGCTGGCCAAGCTCTTTAACCTATTCCAGATATGGATGTGCATACTTAAAGTACGCTTACAGCTCTGACGCGAATTGAATAAGGGAGTTTTCCACAAACGCATTGAACACACTACAATGCGATTCGGTAATAGGGCCAACGGGTAGGCGACGTCATCGGGACCAAAGCCGAGGTTCCCCACAGACTGACATCTCGATGCATCTCAAGTTCATCCTTTGATCAAGCTGCATGTTTACTCTGCATCCTTACGTATCCAATATAACAGCAGCCCAAAGGAAACATTGCTTGAAGGTCTCGTGACCACAGCATTCCTGCTATCGAAGTCAATATGCCTACCAAATCACCGTTTCCCGATGTGGAGATTCCGGCCGTTGACCTCTGGGGTCTAATGTTCGACCGCAAAGACCGCGACTTTTCCGACGATAAAGTCATATATCGCGCTATCAACTCTGGTCGAAAGTACACATTCGCCGATGTAAAAAGCAACGCGACATTATTCGGCGAAGGACTCCGGAATCTCTGGGACTGGCAAAAGAATGACGTGCTTGCTCTATATGCGCCAAACGACATCGACGTACCACCAGTCATCTATGGAACCTTCTTTGCTGGTGGTATTGTCACTCCTGCGAATCCAGGGTATTCAAAGGATGAGCTAGCCTACCAGCTCGAAAATTCGGGGGCTAAAGCGCTTGTCACGACAAAGTCATTCCTGGACACCGCGTTAAAAGCTGCGGAGAAGGTTGGGATTGCAAGTGATAGGGTGATCTTATTGGGTGCCGAGAAAGACGAGACACATCGATGCAAACACTGGACTAGCATCAGGAAGACATCAGGCGCATTACGGTATCGCAGGAGACGGGCGGATCCTGAAGACCTGTCGTTCCTGGCGTATAGTTCTGGAACCACAGGATTACCGAAAGGCGTTATGCTCAGTCATCGCAACATCGTCGCCGACCTGCTTCTTTGCCAGGGCGCAGTGGGAAACTGGTACTCATCCGCAAACGACAAGTTCCTGGGAGTTTTACCATTCTTCCACATCTACGGACTTACTGGTCTGGTACATCAGACACTGCATCGCGGCATTGAGCTCGTGGTGATGCCTGCTTTCGACATGGAGACGTTTCTGCGGACGATACAAGAACACAAGATTACATTCATCTATGTTGCACCTCCAGTCATTGTACGCTTGTCAAGAGATAAGATGGTGGACAAGTACGATCTCTCGTCAGTCAAGATGATAACCAGTGGCGCAGCTCCCCTTACGAAAGAGCTAGTCGATACTGTGCACAAGAGACTGAACCTCAAGATCAATCAAGCATACGGGCTCAGCGAAACAAGTCCCATGACACACACTCAGGTACGTTCCCATCTCCACAACACCGAGCGAGATATGCTAACACCCCCCTCCAGCCATGGAACGAATGGTACACCTCCGTCGGCAGCGTCGGAAAAATGTTCCCCAACATGACCGCAAAATACATATCCGCCTCCGGCGCCGAACTCGGCCCCGGCGAAGCAGGCGAACTCTGGCTCAGCGGCCCCAACATCTTCAAAGGATACTGGAAGAACGAGTCCGCAACCGCCGACGCCATAACGCCCGATGGTTTCTTCAAGACAGGCGACATCGGCTTCCAAGACGAACAACACAACTTCTACATCACGGACCGCGTCAAGGAATTGATCAAATACAAGGGTTTTCAGGTACCGCCTGCGGAGTTGGAGGGGAAGTTGATGGAGAGCGAGCTCATTGATGATGCGGCGGTTATTGGGGTGAATGATGAGGAGCAGCATACTGAGGTGCCGAGGGCGTATATCGTTGCTTCGAAGGCTGGTGCTGGGGAGGCGGAAGCGAAGGCTATAGTGCAGTGGATGGATAAGAAGGTTGCGAATCATAAGAGGTTACGAGGGGGTGTGGTGTTTATTGATGAGGTGCCGAAGAGTGCGAGTGGGAAGATACTGAGACGCGTGCTTAAGGAGAGGAGCAAGGATGATGTGCCTTTGGGTGTGGTAGTCAAGGCTAGACTATGAGCGAAGAGGATCTCACTGCTATGTTAGCCTGTATACTGTACTGTGCCGCACCGGCTGTATGCCTCGAAGAAGCAAAGCTGTCATGTCAAACCCGTGATGCTACAGAGAGGAGAGAGCATCAATCGTTTGGTAGGGTGTGGCAGTGAGTCGAATATATGCTCATCACAAGTGACAGGAGACATCTTGGTGCTTCATACCAGTATCTCTCGATTTGCACACATGTGATCGTATCAAGGCATGCTATTCCAGCGCCAGTAGATGCTCACTAGATATACGTTTTCCCTAACATACAAACACCCAAACCGGAGCAACGGCTTCGAGACCATCTGTCTAGAACAAGTCGAGCAAATCCTGGTTGCTCTTCTTGCTCTGCTCGCCGCCTAGTTGCTGTGCCGGTGGTGGCGGTTGGTTGGTATCCATGCTCATGCTCGCAAATCCATTCATGATGTCATCGTTGCTCATCTTTGTGGCCTGGGCTGGCGGTGCGGCGCCGCCTCCGTCCCCAAACAAGCCTAGCAAGTCGTCCATGTTCGATTGTTGTGGAGCAGGCGCGTTTGTGGCTGGAGATGCGACGCGTTGCGGGGTGCCAGCGAGTCCTTCGAGACCTGATGAGCCATGTGTGGGTGTTTTCTGCATTGAAGCAGGCGCGGAGCCGTCGAAATCGATATCCAAAAGGTTCTCCACGTTTGAAGGCGCTTGTCCACTGACGGCAGCAGCTGCTGCTGCTGCCGCAATTGGGTTTTCTCTTGCTTCTTCCTGTTGCTCTTCAATGGCAGCCCGTTGCATAGCCTCTGCACCAAATCTGCCCTGTCCAAGGAAGGCCTCTGGTGGCTTGTGGTAGACTGAAGCGAGAGTTGATAGTTCTGTGAGTAGCGTCTCTAGTAGTTGAGGAGGCAGTGACCGTATTGTGGATGTGATCGGGGGTTTGTCGGAGAGCACAATATCCTATTCAAAATTAATGTCATGTTGCGCAGCGTAGTAGACTAACGTACCTTGGTGATCTGGGGATCACTAGAAAGTAGTCGCCAATATACGTATGCTCGATCGCGGATATCTGGGTTGTCGTTGTCTGCGGTAGCGGCCTGCAAAACCTTTGTTACCAAGCCTTGTGCTTGATCTGGCTTCTTCAGGAAAAGCTTGACGACGGCTGTGAGTATTTGAAGTTGTGTCTGGTGGCTGTTAGTTTCCGTGAATCCATCTTGGAGGGCAGACGTACTTGAGTGAACTCCTCGGCAAATGTGTCCACGAAGTTCGACAAAATCTCACCCGCGTTGTTGATCTTCTCAGTGTACTCTCCGACAATCCAGATCAGTGAGGCTCTCGCGTTGGGCTCATCCAGCTCGTCTATGCACTGGCAGAGGGTCGGTATTATGCCTTCGTAACCGGGGTATTTGCGGAAAATATCCTTGATCACTACGATCGCTTCCTGGACGACGTAGTTGACTTTGGTGTTGATAAGGTCCAGTAGTGTGTTGACGCACTTCTCGCTTGCGCTTTCGATCTTGATGGCGACCTGTCCGATAGCCTTCACGGCTCGTCGCACGAAATCCATGTCCACCTCCATAGCGTACTCCTTCAGCTCAGCCAGTAGCTGGTCGACGTTCTTGTCGTTCGCTATTCGCACCATGATTTCCAACTTCTGCATCTTCAGGTACGGCGGGTCGTTGTATTTGCAGAAGAAGACGCGCATCTCTTTGCTAAGGATATCCGATTGCTTCTGGAGGAGTAGGTCGATGTTTCGGAGCGCAACGTACTGTACTTCAGGAGCGGACGATACGAGCGTGACTATAGCATGTTAGCGACACCCCTGTAAACCTCCGTCGTCAACATACCTAGTGGGGGAGCCATCTTCTTTGCATACGACTTCATCATCTCGGGAGAGATGTTTCGCATGTGCAGGAAGACGACCTTGACAGCGGCCAGCACCACACTCGGGTTGACGTGCTGGAACTGTGGAACGACTCGCTCGCAAATGTGCTCCGCCTCCTTGACATCTGCCGGCTTGTAGTCTGCCAAAGTGGTGAGCAGAGTGACTCGACCCCACTCTGTACACTCATTCAGCGCCAGAAGCATCTTCTTCAGCTGCTGTGACGATATAACTAGGGCCTTGGTTTCCGGTGCTGCCTCCTGAATCTCTACCAGTGCAGTGACCGAGTTTGCGACGACCATGGGGTTCGGGTCGCCAACCAGTTCCTGCAACTGCTCCAGGAAGCCGTTCTCGATGCACATGGACGGGGCGAGGTCGAAGAGCTTAGCGACACAAAGTGCTGCTGTTTTCCGTACGTACGGAGACTCGTCTCTGAGTGTTTTCCGTAGCGGTTCCTCCATATAATCTGTCATTTTATCGACGCGGATACAGCCCATTGTTCGGATCGCCAATGCTCGTATGAGCGGGTTTGCGTCTTCGGAGTCTTGTACGAAAGTGTTTACGGCGAGAATACAGAGATCGGGGTGTGATTTTGCGTAATTCCTAAGTATTTGTCAATTCCCACCTGCCTCGCAACCAGAACTTGGACCTACATGAGGTATAGATATACCAGCTTCTTCTGGTCAAGGTCGGCAGTCGCAATGTTCTTCAGAACGTCAGGGAAGAGGGCCGAGACATCTTTACCCAGCGTCATGGACATGATAGTCTTCTGAATGGCTTCTTTCCTGCCGCAGTCTTAGTATGCCCCCAGTGTAGTCCTCGCAGTTCCAGGCGCTCACCGTTCGTAGGCATATTGAGATCTGATGCAATGGTCAGCTGTGAATCGCGATCTGGCTCTTTGGGAGATTCATACACCAGACCCGCCCTCAATTCGAACGTCTCTCCCTTTCGCGGGGGCGCAAATGCGCCTCTTATCCTATTAACGGCCATCTTCGTAGGACCGTACAGGCTAATCGCTCAGCCAAACCCCTCCGACTCCGGCTCGTAGAATCTGGAGCCTACTCCCCTACAAGGCCGAGGTATTGGGAAGCGCAAACTTCTTTGGCGATTTATCCTAGCTGTCGAGAAGTCGGTGTCTCTGGATCGAGGGGCGTGGGTGAAGGTGAAGTGCGGGTTGGGTTAATGTTGGTGGAGCTTCGCGACTGCCAGACTGCCACCTTGATGATGCGGTCTGTGCGCCGCCCCGGGCCCGCAGCCATGCATCGCATCTAGCCCAGCCCTGAAATGCTTCGACGCTCCCACTCTCATCATCGGCGTAGCAGCATGGTAAGTCGAATGCAACAACCAACACGAATTGTATGACGCTGAAGTCTGACTTCATATCGCAGCCTTCCAATTTACCTAATCTACGTCGACTCTTCGTGGAAGCGCGCAGCGAGGCGGAGGAGAGCGCGTACTCGAGGAAGGCCGTATGCTTTCTCTATCAGTATCAGTTCGGTCATCTGGTGGGCTAATACAATAACAGTTTTACAACCTTGCCATATTCATGTCATCAATCGCTGTCTTTAGCTTGGTCGCTCAGCGAATGGCTTCTGCAAAGGCTATCGGTTCATGACCTGAGAACAACACCACTACATCATCAATTTCATGATCAACCCATGAGACAGGAAAGAGAAGCACGGCCCTTTCTCTAAGAATGCAAGAGCATGCGGTTCCAGTTGCGCTTTATTGCGGATAGACCTGGCGGCCGGCGCTTACTTGAACAACAACCCACCTCGGCGCTTGAGACAGCGATTCCATGAGTTCGAGCCAGACATCCGCCAATTAAGTTATTGGCGGGTGGATCTTATGCCTGTTACAAGTAGGTGAGGCGCGAAGTGATACTATGCGCCCTACTAGTTTCCGACTTGCCTGCATGTAACCCTAAGATGCGGCGCAGTAGCAATACCCCATATCAATAAGAGGACATGATGATTCTTACTGTTCAATCCATGCTCCTGGAGAGTTTTCTATCTTCCATTTTACCGACATGTTTCATTCCGCGCCCACAGCTTCCCTAGATCAAGATAGTGACACAAAAGACCGGCCCCTCATTCGAGCTTCAACAACGTTCTACGACCGAATCGTCACTGATTGGTGGTGGTGGGAGCTACTCAGCTGGACTGTTAGTCTCGCCTGTATGGCGGCTATCATAGGTGTTTTGTGGTATTATGATGGCAAACGGCAGCCAGAGTACCTGGTAACAGGCATTACGCTCAACGCGTACGTTGCCGTCTTCGCTGCGGTCTCTAAAGCAGCTTTGATATTACCGGTTTCGGAAGCTATTGGACAGTTGAAGTGGATTTGGTTCCAGAAGGAGGCGGCCTTATGGGATTTCCAGGTCTACGACGCCGCAAGTCGTGGACCTTGGGGTGCGGCTCTGCTTCTCATCAAGACACGGTGCAGGTTATTATACCCAGTTGGAACCGCGTTATTACTCGCTGACATGATACCAGACACCTGGCGTCCCTGGGTGCATTGATTACTGTTCTAGCGCTCGCATTTGAGCCATTCTTCCAACAGATTGTGGCCTACCCGGAAACGATGATTGCCGACCAGCAGAGTACAACATGGGCCGCGAGGAGTTTTGTACCTCATAATGCACCTGTATCGCGTAAGCTGTCATTCGGTGCCCGCCCAGACCCGACAATGGGTGCAGTAATCGATTCCGCCTTCACTACTCCAGAGGTTGGGATCAGGCCATCTACAGCCACGTGTCCCACAGGAAACTGCACCTGGCCTTCATACTCGACGCTTGGTGTCTGCCACGAATGTCAGGACGTGTCCTCATTGATGGAATATTATTGCAAGAATAATACGAGCTTGGATCGTGCAACAGGTTTCAGAGAGGCCGTGGACCCTTGCGGATTCAAGGTCAACAACACTTTCCTAGTTGGCTCTACGGGGCTCGTTGGTTTTCGTCGAGTAACAAGTTTAACGACATTAATTGTTAACACGTCAAACGTTCATTCCCGATACGATCCCTTCTTAAACACCACCGAGTTTGCACACGCCACTTTACCCATCGCGGATTTCTATGTTGGGTACACTCCCGGAGGTCCTGCCGCTGCAATGAGGAACGAAACGCCAGTGC